CTTGTCACTTGTAGAACAAAATATCCATATAGCTGTGGGTCTGTCTAAAAAATCTAATTTGTTTTAATGATCAACATTTGATAATGATTTTGTTAAAATCTCTCTGTCATGATTACTATTACTATGGCATGACATTGCACAATTTAAAATCACATACTGTGGGGCTTTCAATATGATTTAAAAAGGAATTATTTGGCTCCTCTAGATAATCTGTATTTCAAGTAAATTTTAGATTCATTCAAAAAATGAATTCACCAAGGATTCATTGATTTATTATTTTAATAATTCAAATTTTATATCTGTTCATCATGATTTAACTCAGGAAAAAGCTCATTTAGCTGAATATTTAAACCTTTTCCATCTTTCTCATCCATTCTCATAGAAAATGTAAATCCATGTGCATCACAGATGTTTTTGACAACTGCCTTTCTGTAGTTGCAGTTGTCTCAGAATATTCACTTGGTGTTTGCATTTCCTGATGATCTTCTCATTAAACTTTAGTCCTAAACAACTTCCTTCTTATACCATTACACCACAGATTCTAGGAATAGTAGGACATTTTCAGTAGGGTGTCTGTGTTTGTGTGCATGTATTTTATGAGACAATGAGATCAAGAGAGGTAGAGAAATTGAGATAGAGAGAGACAGAGAAAGAAACTGAAACATTTCACCCAATACCATTGGGACTATCAGCCAAAGCAATAAATACTGCCATCCAAATTCAGGCTCTTAAACTTGAGGACTGGATTCACTCAAGTTCTCCAGCAACAGACAGCAAGGTAAACCTAAACATTAGGGTGCTTGAGAATCTACTAGGATATGGATGGACAATAAATCACTAATAAGAAAACTAATCGGAATGTAATGATAGTATTTCTTTTTTTTCTGAGCACTGAGATGCCCTTTGATTTTAAGGCATAAAATATTCTTGCTCTTAGTCTATTCCTTAATAGCATTTGCCCATTCATACATCAGACAACAATGACTATATGCAGTAGTTCTAAGTTGTGATAGTGCTTGTATATAAACTATAACACTATCAGAAAGATTCAGTGATGAATCAATAATGGAAGAAAATAAATGATCTTGATGCTTTTCCAAAATAAGTTTTTACCTTATTCACTTTTTCTCAAATCGTTAACTACAACCTTAATCTGTGTTCTTCACTGATAAAATAAACTAGACCCCAAATGTATTTCATTTCATGCCATGCTTCCTTTTCAAAGCATTCATCACACATTAGCTAGCATGAAATCCTGAAATAAAAATATGATTATTTCATCATTCTGTTTAGAAACCTCAGGTAATTTTCTAGGGTTATTCACAATCTGGCTTTTGCAAAAAACATCCACAGAGATCATTCTATTTGAGTAACTTAAGTTTTTTCTTTGAGTTCCTCTTTCTCACATACATCAGAGGACAGTCCCACGTTTCCTCTTTAACTATTGAAATCTTTATGCTAATACAATACTTGGGTTCTGTTAAGGAACACACATACTTAATTACCTGTAAGTGAGTATTGGTATTTCATTTCTGAAATACAGACTGCTCAGGAGGTAAAAATCTTGGTAGAATATTGGAGAGTAAGAATCCCTGAGGAAGAGTGGTGCCTATGGCTCAAAGGAGTAGGGCGCTGGCCGCATATGCCGGAGGTAGTGGGTTCAAACCCAGCCCTGGCCAAAAACTCCAAAAAACAAACAAACAAAAAAGAATTCCTGAGGAAATGAAAATAGGTGTTTCTCTAATAATTGTTAAAAAAAATACAAATAGTAATTGCATAAAAATAACTTTTAAGTTTATCTTTTAAATTTTAGTGCATTTTATAACAATGATCATGTATGTCTAGCTAAAACATTCTCCTCTAGACAACAATGATTGTATGATGTGTGCAAATCTTATTGAATTTAGCAACTCTTCTGTGATTTTGAAAATGTTTTATGTAAGATAGAGAAGTGCTGGGTTTTTTTCTAACCTTTTAGGAATTTTAATATGTTACTCTTCCACAATGTAATATAAATTATTATTAGTAATTTTATACAGATTAAATGTGGCTAAAGAAGTAGATTTTAAAAATAACAATACTATATACACTATATTGGAAACAGAGTAGTTTTCTACTGTGTCTCAGAGCACAGAACAGTCCTGTGCACATCCTGAACATGTCCAATAAATACATTTGTATTAGTGACAGGACTGGAATAAGTGAATTCCAAAAGAAAATAGACACACATATTTTACATTAGACGGAACATAATCATGCTGTATAAGAAGGAAGGAGTAGCTGTTCCCTATAATACTTGAAGACATTAGGACAAACACATATCTTTCATTTCTGAAATAATAGTAGTTGTAGAAAGGGAGGATATAAAAGTGTGTACACCTCCAGTCTAACAGTTCAACATTATTTCTAATTCTCTTCTGTTAGTGAACATGTAACAGTCTTGTCATGTACACTACTAACTTGTGAATAGCAATTATTCTGAAATGATGGAAATACAAGAATTTTCCACTTGGTGAAAAGAGGACCTATGGCCTTCACCAATCATAAAATGCATATTTCTATCTTAATTCTCTCAAAGAGTATTTTTATGCTTCTCATAACATTATTTTATCTCTTGATTTTTTATATATTTAAATACTACAGATAAACCTGTCATTGCTGTCCTGTTTTATATAACACTTTGTGTTTATTCTCTGTCATAAGTTTTACCCGTAAAATTTAGGTTTGCACTCACAAAATTCCCTCCAGTTATTTTCTCCTCATCCTACTTTTCCCTCCTCTCTTATTTATTCATCTTAGATTTGCATTGACAAAACAGGTGTTCATGGTGTTTCATAAATATTTTTGAAACATTCAGTGTTGTCTATAGATTAAGTTTAACATTTAAATCTATAATTACTTTTAGATAAAGGAATATCTTATAAAAAAGCACTTTAATCTTCTTTCCCCACAGGTTATAATAATCACTGTGCTCTTTGTCAGCAACTAAAGCACTGTTAAATTTATTCAATTTTCTTGCATCATAGCAGTTAAAAATCACACCATCTTTTTAGTTTGCTTTATTTGTGAATCTTGAATTTATTTGTATTTTTAATTAATTTTATATGGAATGTCTAATTGAAAACTTTCTGTTTCATTAAATGATAAACATGAACTACCTTGGTTATGACCCAGATGCTGCTGCCAATTTTGTCTTACAGTCTAGGAAGCTTTCTCTCTCTCTCAAAAGTTACCTCAGAGCGTGTTTATTTCAAATCATAAAATACTAATTTATGTAGCTTTAATTTCATTTTCCTAGTTTTATTACCATTGCATGGACCACTATTTATTATGGAAAACATGCTTCAAGAAATTTCTCAGTGTGTACACAATAATATTGTACATTTTTATACATCTGAAACTATCATTCACATTTAATAAGTAGCTAGGTTTCTATAGAATTCCATACTCAGAAAAAAATTATATAGTTCTTCAACACTAGTGAGGCACCATATTATTGTTTCTATAATCCATTTTTAATAATGGAGAGTTTAATAAATCTCTGGTTCTCTCTGTCTTATGAAATTATCATTTTCTCTGTGTGTTTGTCCCATTATTAGTACTTAAAATGCTATCCAATTTTGTTGGGAACTCAAATAACATGATTATTAGGAGATTTAGTATCATCTTTCTGTTACCACAAACAAAATGTTCTTTCAAACTGAGGGGGAAAAATCTCACATATATATAATTTCAGTTATATTAAAACATATTTTTCATAAAATTCTTCGCTAAAGTTCTTGCATTTCTCTTGTTGAAATTCTAGTTATTTTATATAGGATCACCCTAACTGATTCCTTATATTTTTATTTGTTTCATTTTGTTCTTACTTATTTTTTCCTCAAATATTTTTGTTTTTTCCTTATTACTTTTCCTTACAACTTATATTTTACTTACATTTAATATGGTTATCTATAATTAATTCGTAAGGAATTCCCTTATGTTCAGATTATCTGCATATATCAGTGCTACTCAAAATTGGGGCCATATCCAGCATTAGCTGCATTGAAAGATTATTTTAGATAATAGTAGAGATATCTCTCTTGTTTAACATGGGAATATGCATAGGCAATAGATGTAATGGCTTGGAAATTAAAGAGTTATCTTCTGAAAGTTTAAGCAGGTATAGAGCTTCAGACAGAAACAGGGAGAGGGAGAGAGAGACACAAAATACACACACGCACAGAGGGAGAGAGAGAAATTCAGGGTCTGTTTCAGACTCAGAATGCTCTTACAATAACCCACAATTCAGAAACCCTGAAAAGCCTGCTGCCCTAGATCATTTATTCTTTAGTTTCGTCCCTTAGGTGAATCTTGAGTCTTGAGTGGAGTATTTTAACCAGAAATGGTTACCACTTCCTTTTACCATTGCATAATTGTCATCCTAGGGTGTTGGAGATAAAGACATATATATGTATATATCTTTATACATATCTTTATATAATGTGTGTTCATACATATACTCTATGTGTCTGTGTATACACACACACACACACACACGCACAAACATATATAAATGCAGTGTGGCCAGAAAGTTCATGTGCTATTTAAAATTGCACAAGAACTTTATGGTCACTCGGTATATATATGTATATACATATATCTATATATGTGTATATATATATGTGTGTGTGTGTGTTTTACAATTAACAAAATGCCCTACTTTTATTAACCCAAGGACTAAACACAATGTACAAATAGCCATTTGTAGACCTTCCTAAATAAAGGGATTGCCTTATACTACTACAATATCAGGAGATAAATAGAAATTTTGTTTTCTAGCATAATACTAATTAATGCCCTTGTCCTTCAGGCATAAGAATGATTTAAATCTCTCTTTCTTAGTGAAGCACTCATTGAAAGCATTGTGCCAAAGGAGAGGAGTCTCCTTGATTTAATAATGTGGTTTTTCTTCTTCTTTAGGATCTGCATCTGGAAAGCAGGGCTGCTCACCATTTTGCATGGCAGAATCCAACTCCACAGCATTTCAGCCTGCCTTCTTCATCCTCACTGGGCTGCGAGGGCTTGTGGGTGCCCGACTGTGGCTGGGACCTCTCCTGAGCTTGATGTACATTGTTACAGTAGCAGGGAACTGCACAGTGATATACTTGGTGAAGAATGAGCGTAGTTTACAGGAGCCCCAGTACTATTTCTTGTCTGTGCTCGCTGGAGCTGATATTGTCCTGTCTGTGTCCACACTTTCTTCTGTGCTCAAAGTCTTTATCCTTGGCCTTTATGAAATTGCATTTGATGGTTGCCTTGCTCAACTGTTCTTCATTCACACATTCTCTTCCATGGGATCAGGAATCCTGGTGGCCATGGCCTTTGACCGCTTTGTGGCCATCAGTCACCCCTTACAATATACCACTATACTTACTAACTCACGAGTCACCAAAATGGGGCTGGTAGCCCTGTGGAGGGGGATAGCACTCATGATACCATTGCCTATCCTGCTCAAGAGGCTCCCTTTCTGCCGGGGCCAGACACTCTCCTATTCCTACTGTCTCCACCCCAATGTCATGAAGTTGGCTTGTGGCCAAGTCAAAATCAACATTTTATATGGGCTGGTTCTGGTAATCTTTTCTTTTGGGGCTGACTTTCTGCTAATAGTCATTTCTTATGCTTTGATATTCCAAGCAGTTCTGGGCATTGCTTCCAGAGAAGGCCAGATGAAAGCACTCAACACCTGTTTATCTCACATCTCTATTGTCCTTATTTACTATGGGCCTCACTTAGCAATAACTGTAATGCATCGAGTCAGCCACAAGAGTTCTCCATTAGCACATGCAGTTCTGGGAAACATCTACCTCTTCATGCCACCGATGCTCAACCCAATTGTGTATAGCCTGAAAACCAAACATATCCGTGCTGCCCTGAGGAAAACTTTCAAAATCCAGAGACACTGAAGTTATTTTAGACTATTTTAACCAGATTGATGAAAATATTTCAAATTGTATATAAAACCAGCACATTGTACCCCATGACTGCATTAATGTACACAGCTATGATTTAATAAAAAGAAGAACCAAACTGAAAAAAAAAACAAACATGTATTCATAAATGGCGTTTGCTCTTTCAATTTTAAATATATGTTTGAAACAATTAGGTAACAAGAATGTAACAAATTGAGGATGCTTGCCTAGGGTACTCATATGAACCTTTTATCATAAGAGAGTCTAGAATGCTTCTACATTTTCAAATGAAATCCATAAGCCAGTAACTTTTTAATGAAGAGTCCAGAAATTTCAAAGAAATCTCACATCCCCTATTCTTTCACTTTCTTCTTTTATCTCCTATCTTTTTTCCTGTAGCATAGTTTATTTTACTTTTTAACTGCAAAGTTTGGGTTACACTCAAATTCAGTGTAACCCAAAATTAATGAATTCCTGCTCCAAATGCTTCTTTTTTCTAAATTCCCTCTGTATAGTAATGATGATTGGATCTTCTTTGTTGGTATAGTAAAGTTAAAAGTTCTTATTATCTCTATGAACTTCTCTTACATTTTTCTACACATAATCTTCATTATTTTTATTCACTTACATCTCCTAAATATATATTAAATTTGTTCACTCATGTATATAAGTTCTTTCACTAACTCAAGCTTTTATTTTTTATCTATTATAATAGCTGAAGTTTTTTCATATAATATTATCCCTTGCTTAATCTTTTATTGCATTGCTCCATAAACATTGCAAAACAAATATGTTCATGTTGAATTTTTATTTTAAATTTTTGTAACAAAATTCTCATTTGATATGAAAATTTAACCTAATGTGAATAGTATGCAAGGCCCTTCATAGTCTGACCTATCTTTTCTTCCGCTCTCTGCAGTACGTGTTAGCTCAGACATTTTTTTGTACTTTCTCCTCCTTACACTTGCCAAGCACATTTTATCCTTCCCTGATAATCTTCTTTGAACTAGGTTAATGATAATAAACCTTCTGTAATTTCTAAAAATTCAACCAAAATTTCCGTGAATATAATTTCTCCATTGGTTCAGTGACCAACAGATTATGGGACCATCATGTAGGAGTGAACTTTTAACCTGTAGGATCCAATGCTATTTCTAGGTAGATTTGTTAAAACTGAATTGACTTAGAGGATTTCCAGCTGCTGTCTATTGGAGAATTGCTTGATGTCTGGGAAAAAAAAAAAAAAAAAAAAACTTTCGTACATCTGGTGTCAGAAGAATTGGTTGTGTAAAGAGACTGTGTGAGAATGCAAAAAGGCATTTTTTCCTCATATATTTAGTTCATGTGTGTGTATGTGCAATACAGAGAATAGAAAAATAAAGAGAAAGATATTTATTAAATATAAAGTAATAGAACAAAATAATATAGTTTCAATTTTAAACAGATCAAAAATAAAAACTAACTAATAAATGACTACCAAATAATTTCAAAAAATGTATGTGAAACAAATTTCTGAGAGATCAGGGTGACTATAACTTCTGTGAGAGAGTATCAAGTTGGTAGTTGTCAGGCTAAGCCAAGCAGAGTACATTGATGGCCCCAAATTGAAAAAGTGATAAGAAAATTAATATTAATTAATAGAATGGACATACAAATTTTTAATTAATAAAATGTAACTCTGATATCCACTCTTTACCATTGTCTTTGCTTTCCTTTCTACAGAGTATCTTTCTTTGTGACACTCCATTACCTGTGCTTTCTTTAAGCAAAATGCTCTGTTTTATTCTTATGTTTTAGTACATGCTGCAAACTATGCCAATGGACTCAATCCACTTTCTTCTCTGTTGAAATTTTTACTCATTTCCTCATCCTCAGATCTTCGTGGAAACCTTCTTGACTGTCTTAGTTGCCTGTTTCATACATTTTGTAGGAATTTGACATTATCTCTATCATGACATACACCTTATACCAAGCATTTACTTTTCTACCTGTCCCTCAAAACTTTATTGAAATCAATGGTAATTTGCTGGATTATTTTTATATTCTTAGATTCCAGTAAAATGTGGAATGTATCATGAGCCTCTAGAAAAATAATGAAAACAAGAAAGTTAGAAAAAAATAGGAAGGGCAAAAAAACTAGTAGTTTACTGGACACAGTGGACTTTGTGAAATTCAGGCAGCATCGTTATATATTTCCTTGTCCTAAATTCCAGGCACTTATGCAGACACTAGAAATACAATTATGAGCAAGAGGCAATAAATAATTCCCCACAATTGTAGGATTACATCCTAGTCATTGAAGAAAGAGAAGAAAAATCAAGTAACTCCCTTTTCTGGACTGTTGGCCCAATTAGTACTATCCTGTCTGTATTTTCTTATATAAATACATATTCCTTTTTTTCCACATGTCCACTTTTCCCCTATCCATACCATAATATGTGCTATTAATGTCTCTGAGTCTATCCTCAGAGAAAAACATGTATATACATGAACTCCTACTTGGCAGTAAGTGCTCCCTCTACAGACAGTAAAGAGGGAGAGCACTGTGCTTTCCAATGTGTATGACTTGAACCATCACATGGAGATAACTTGGCCTAGCAGTACCAAGGAAGTTAAGATACGGTATCCTGGGAACGGCACCTAGAAGTGAAGGTTTGCATGGTTTTTGAACATGACATAAAGATCATCGTACTATATGATCATAATATAATTTTTTCTCAAACAATAGTATATTTGAGAAAGTTTTTAAATAGATATATTATTTAGGTACATGGGAATATGTAGTCAAAGCATAAAGAAATATTTGGGACTATTAAACACCAAATTAAGGATAATATTTATCTCTGGAAAGAATATGTTTAGGTATATTCATTGTGTTTCAATAATATTTATGTTGCTACATTTATTAAGCTGGATCATGGGTACATGGATTGGGATTTGGGGGGGAAATAATTGAAAACATTGAGATCAAGTAAACATCAATATGTAAACACGAAAATCTTAACTAAAAATCTTGGCATGGGAAAGGCGTGTGAAAAATGGGCTCTTGCATCATGACAATGCACCAGCTCACATGGCACACATGAAAAACATTTTGAAATCATTCAGGACATCAAGGGTCATACGACAGCTCTGTAGGCCATTTCAGAAAAAGAGTTCCAAAATTGCTTTGACGGACTAGGCATGGGGTCAAGTGCATAACTTCCCAAGGGGAGTAAGTCAAAGGTAACTGTAGCAATAACCATCAATGAGGTATGTATTAAATAGCACTTTTTCCAGGGTGAGTTTGAGAATGTCATTACTAAACCTTGATTAGAAGAATGGCTTCTCTTTTAACAAGTTTAATTTTTCATGCTCATTCTCCAATAGCATTCCACTAGATATAACTTGCTCATTCCAACATCAAAAGTTGCATATACTTCTGATCATATTTTTAAATGTGTTCATGCTTACACAAACAATAGGAATTTAATTCATTTATTTAAGTGACAATATATAAACATTTGACAAAATACTCCTGTGACTATTTCATATCACAAGAATTACTCCTGTCATTAAATTTCCGTCAAATGCAGTGCTTTGTTTCTTTATTTGACATTTACCATCTAGGATTTCATGTATTGATCTAAAGATTATCATCCTACATTAATTTTCCTTAACCAATTTGACTTGATATGACTTCAAGATTGGGACTGTACATTATATATATGTGTGTGTGTGTAAGGACTTTCCAGCTTTATTTGGGCAGGAATGTACTTAGTCAATTTTTTTTAAATAAATAAATATGGGTGTAAACAATTATACATGGAGCCACACATATATCATTTTTGCATAGAATTGAAAAAGAACAGAGTTCTAAATTCTGATAATGTCAACATTCAAATTAATAAATGAACTAATTACCATCTAATAATTTATTACCTAAACATTATTCACACTTTATATCTGAATGCCACTCTTGCTTCCAGAAATTATTTTTTTAGCCCTTTATTCTGACTTTTTTGGAAGAGACAGGTGCAGGCCATTTTAGGGCATTTTTGCAGGAGAGTTACCAGAAAATGGCATGCCTGCTTAAGAATATTTATTTCAAATCCATTGCCAAGCAATTAAAACACTATGTCCATAAAATTCTTAGTCCAAAACATGATTTTTCAAAATTCTAGTTATCAGTTCTTCAAAAACTTTCAAGGCTCCAAACATCAGATTTGTTAAGGTGTACTTGTTATAGTCTGGAACAAAGCTCCTACCAACCTTCCAGTGCCTTGGAATTTACCATTTTTTTGAAGGATGGAACTTTTCCGACTCCCACTGCTTGTATCTCTGACTCTATCTTAATCCATTGTTTCCTTCATAGATTTGGTTAAAATGTGCAATTATTTTATGTATTTTATTGCTTATTTTCTTCCTTCAACATCCTCATCACCATCAACATGTAAACTCTACAGAGGCATCCCTAAATATTTACAAGGGAATTGATTCCAGAAGCTCATCCAGATACCAACATCTGATGATGCACTCAAAATGTGGGATATTAGCATCATCAGATTTTGGTATGTATTGCATGTTAGCTATGCACATACTCCCATATACTTTAAATCATCTCTAGATTGCTTCTTATATTTATTATAATATATATAAATGTAATAGTAGTTATACTGCATAGTTTGAGGATTAACAACAAATTAAGAAAAAACTGTATATGTTCAGTAGAGACAATAGAGTTTGGTTCAATCTACAGATGAAGAACCTAAGGACATGGACAGCTAACTGCACTTATAATGTTTAAGTGGTCCTACATTACATTCTATCGATGATAGTACAATTCTTGCAGAATTATTTAATCTATTAAAAAGTAGATTCATTGTTGTTTTATATTTGACTTTGATGAAGAGAAATTGTGAATGACTAATTGTTTCAATATCCAAAACATTTTGTGTTACCAGTACAGTGAATTTTTGAATAATTAGCTTCATAATTACAAAGTAGAACTGAAA